CGATAGTAAGCTTGTTAACTATCTATATAGTGCCGTTGCGTATGTTATTATTACGCGACTCTACTTATTCTAGGAGTACGCGCTCTAGGCCGTGTAGGAAATAAATAATAATTAGCTCTTTAACTAACGTGTCTATTAATGTGCTCCAAAGTCTTCTAGTACTAATTTTATAGTAGGTAAAGGTAACGCCTGTTTGCGCTAGTTGCGAGCGAGCGTCTTAAAAGTAATTAATATAGTTACGTACTAAGTAGTAGGTGTTAGCGTAAAGATTAATAAAGTTAGTCTATATAGCGCGTAGGTTGTCCTGCTTGACAGGTACGACGCGGTTAGTGATATACGTGTATATTTTAGCTAACGAATTAAAACTGGTTAGTACTAGGTAGAGAGACTTGTTAATAAAGCTAATAATAGCGTTCTAGAGAGAGGCGTCCTTACTATCCTAAGCTTTAAGGCGAGCAAGAGCTGCTACTTTAGAAGCTTGTATTTGCTTATTTATAATAATTTAGGAGCGGTTAGCCTTCTTGTAAGTATTAAACGCCCTAGTCTCTTCTTCTTCTAATATACTATTAGTAACGACAAGTTGTATAAGCGGATACTCTTTATAGTCGGGAGAGGCGTACGCAGGGCGCGCCTTTATGCCTAAAAGGATATTCTTCGCGCTACGCTCTATAGCTACGTTAGTTATCTATTTATTCTACTCCTTCTAGTTGCGGCCTGTCGCGTCTAGCACGATCGCGCCTATAGTTAGAGTTAATATGTTGTAGATTAGTATAAGCTCGCTAGGGCTTTACTAGGTTACTGTAGCTTTAGTAGTGCAAGGTTTGTTCCTGCGGTGCTAAAAACTGGCGTGGGTCTGTTTTGTCTTTAATGGTGCAGCGTTAGCTTCTGCGGTGTTAGATCTGGCGTAAGTACTGAGATCGACAGCAGGCTGCACTTAGAAGGGCGACATAACCTGACAGATAAGTAGGGCTCAAAAGTGGACAGAAAGTCGATGTGTATTGTGTGTGTGCTGAGACTAGCTATCTATAGTACACGAATAGAGAATCGATGACTAAGCAGGTGCACGGTGGACCGTAGGGTCACCAGGGCAACTGACAAGTAGCACGCCTTTAACGCTTAGGTATCTTTATTACGTAGCTATTACGTAAAGGGCTAGCTATTTTATTAAAATAGTAAGGAGAATTAGGTCGCGAAGTTAAGGAAGACTAAGTTAAAAGTAAGACGTTGTAGCGCATAAAGTTAAGCAAAAAAAAAAAAGAAAGAGCTTAAAAGAGTAAGGTCTAGAAGCTAAGTAAGAAGTAATTTTATATATATAATAATAAGTAAACGCACTAGCGCGAACACACTACTATAGTAACTACTTATAGTAAAGATATAAAATTAGATACGCGAGAATAAAACTAGTAAAAGGTTTATAATAGTAAAAGGATTATAAGTAGATAATAAAATAATCGCGAAGCTATATAAATAAGATAAGACGCGGAGATTTTTTTTAACCCTTAATAGAGGGAAGGGAGGTATATAATAGGCTACGCCTAGTTATTACCTTAGATCCTTAACCTTTAGTTATGTAAACCCTAGATATATAAATTCGACGCCTAAAGCTTAACTTCGGACTTTTTATTAAATTTATAAGTATTCTTCTGGCACCTTTGGCTCCTTGAGCACCCAGCCCCTTACACCTTGCTTATTTAGGTTCCCACCCAACAGGGCCACAGACACGATTTAAGCTGGAGATAGTACATAGGCTATAATCGCCCGGCGGGTCAACTTGTACGCTGCCACATCTACCTTCATTATCCACTACAGCCTGGGAGGTGTGGTGGGCACAATTGGAAAAGGACTTGGGTTGGTGAGCCTATCGCGAAGACTCACCAGTGCGAGATCCTTACCCGTACGAGAAGTCACCCATGGCCACTGGAGGGCCATCCCCATCCCCAACGCCTGCTGGTACCGCATCTTTCGCGAAGGACTTTGGCAGCAGCACCCTCAATCTCTGCGATGGCCGCACCGCCAATATTTCGGTCGTGAAGCGCACCTCTAACCGCCTCTTCCGCCTCGATATACAGGGTGCAACACCGGCGCAGCATCCGAGTAAGATATTCTGGGAGATAGGTACGCTCAACTATGGCCATCCCAGCCAGGGCTTTGGGAACTACGAGTTGTTGGATGAGGATCGAAAAGTGTATGCCGTTTTGCTCAACGCCCATCACAAGAGCTTGAAAAAGATCGGGAGGCTGCATTTCTTGGTGGAGCCAAACAAGGCGCTTGTAGAGATGACGGTTGGAAGTTTAATGACGATTTGGAAGAAATCGGAGAAGGATGTGAGGAGTGGGCACATTGGTCTTGGCATTTGAGGTGTACGTAAGGTCAGGGCCAGAGCGTACCGATTCTTGGCAGTGCGTGCACTCGCAACACCAAAATCTGGCCCCGTAATATGAGGCTGTAGAGACGCCCACAAAGTCAATTATCGCGAGATTTTATGGTGTTAAGGTCGCTAAGGCCTATAGATAATATCTATCTACTTAGATTATTAATATCTACTTAGTGTTCTAATTAGGCGGCCCTTGCGCGTTAATAGTGTTAATGCCGATAATGCCACCCTATCTAGATCTATATCTCTACTAAGGGCCTGCGCGGGCCTAAGAACCTATTTCTATAGTATTAAGGACTTTTTAGGAGCTAATTAAGTAATCTTAATTAATTATTAGTATTATTTTTAGGCCCTATAAGCTTTTTAATTAAAGTATTTTTATAAAGATATATTAGTCTTCTGCTACGCGCGCGCCTTTTTATAAATTATATAAGTAATACGCTTTTTATAGAGTAATTAGGCCTTAAGCTATTAATTAGCCCTATAAGCCTTTATTTAATTAGCTTTTTAACGCTATTTCTGCTCCTTATTCTAATTAAGTTAGTATTAATAATTATAGGCCCTTTATACGCTGCAAAGTAACTAAAATATTACTTTACTATAATAGCTATTACTTTAATTAAGGGGTAAAAGCCTATCTTTCTTAGAGTAGCGTTTCTTAGTTACTAAGGCCTCTTATAAGTGCTTATTCTTATCCTCTAGGAGCAGTTTTTAGATAGTAATATAGTATATAGTTTAGCTTAGTTACTTAGCCTAACTATTACCTTCTACGTTAATAATAGCCTTTAGAAGTTAATTAATTTTCTACTAATCTAACGTGCTAAGGGCTAACGTATTACTATTAAATATTTTTTAATTAGTTAATATTAATTAATTAAACCTATTAAGAATTCTTACTAAATTAAGTAGTAATATGCTAGTAGCTTTAAAGGCGCTAAATATTAATTAGAACTTTATTATATTACTTTAGGCCTTCTACAATAGTAGATAGAAGTCTTTTATAGTAATAAAAAGTAGGCTCTAGTTAGTATAAATAAATGCTATAAGCTTATTTAAATATACTATTAATAGAAGCTTAAATATAACTACGTTAAAAGCCTGCAGCGTATAGGTCGTATAAAGTAAATAGATAGCTAAGAAGATCCTATTATAGTTATAATAATTAATAAAGTCTATAGTAAGGTAAGATCTATAGCTATTAATAATTAATAATTAATATCTCTTAGAGTTTTATTTTATTAGGTAATTAAATACCTACTCTAGCTATACTAGCCTAATCTAATTATTACTTTAGCTAGACTTAAATAAAGTAATAAAAGTATAATTATAATTAGGATTTATATCCTTTATCTACGTTAATTGTATGTTGCCAGAGATAGACTAATAGATAAGGGCTAGGTTAAGGGCAGTCCTATCCGCGCAGATACAGGCGATCAGTGATATCTAATCACGGTTACCATCCTGGATAGCCTGCCTCACAGCGTGGGCCTCCCATAGAGGCCGATCGAAGATCCTCTTTGACCTGGAGGTGATACCAATCATGAAGCCTTTCTCATCCATATTATACGTATCCCGGGCCTCGATCAGATACTAGGCGATTTTATCACGTAGGAGGCCAAAGTAGAGCTTATATTTATATAGGGAATTAGCTGCGTGGCGATTACGATTAATGCTAGCAGTCTATTAAGATATTAAGGATTCCTTATTGCGTATGGTGAATCGATTAACCTAGGTAATAGAGACCTCTCTATAGGCTATTATAGAGGCAAAGCTTTAGATTATCTAGCGTGTAGGTGGCAGGCCGCGTTTAGTAAGTATTTTAATATACTATAGAAGCTCTGCCTCCTACTTATAGCTAAAGTTACATTATTATTTTTAGGTATCTACACGTAAGCGCGTAATGTCTTAGTATCTTTAAAATAAAGTAAACTAATTAATACTAAATAAATCTATATATTTTTAGTATTTAAGTTTTTTTTTGTTTATATAATTTAATTGCTGTAAGCGTGGCGTTAATTAGATCTATATTAGTGGAGATACAAGGGGTTGAAGTTTTGGTATTGCAGGGCCGCGCGTGCACGCAGTGATGGCGTGCACGCACTGCCAAGAATCGGTAACGGTCGAGTTATTGTAGTTTGAAATTGATTGCGAATGGCCTTCACATATGGTCATCTTTTCAACGTCGCATAGCGGCCATGCATAAATTCGAGGGGACTCTTGTGCTGCCTTCGCAAGCGTACTGGAATGTACATATTGCAAAATTCGCTCCCTGCCCGGACGTCGTGTTGCGCAGCCAAAAAACCTCAAAATTACGGGCATAATGACATGATAAAATTGTATGAATGAATGCTCTCTCTAGTGATGTTACTTTGGATCTCGTGAAGGAAGAGTGCAGAGAGTGAGTCGCGGATTAGCGATCCCACAACGCTCAAGCGCGCTATCGCCGCATTGGGGCGTCCGGTACCTTCATTCTGCTTGTAAATTTGTACCTCCTCATGGGGTTTCTAAGCATTATAAATCCCCCGCTGAGAGACTACAGATGTCTTTTGACACAGCAAGGCCTCTCAAAACATACAGTGCATTCAATATATATTTTTAATCCCAAATATTGACCAATCACAATCCAGCTGTTGTGGTGTAGTGGTATCACGTTCGCCTCACATAAGGTGGGAATCCGCGAAAGGTCTCGAGTTCGATCCTCGGCGACAGTAGATATAAGAGTTCTATGGAGATAATCAGAAATGTTTTTGTTTCCTAACGTACTCGGCAAGCGAGCGGCGCACCCCACCGACTTTCCATAACTCGTTACCTATTAGCTATAATGGCTCAACCAACTACTATTTAATCGCCCTATAACGACGCTAATATATTCCTAGCTATCTTGCCTATTAATTATAATTAAATCTAAGTAGAAAACGCGCTACTATAATTTATGAAGTCCTAGGCTGGTAAATAGATTGGGGTTAGGTCAGATCCGCACGGACTAGAACACTAAAAATCTAACCTTTACTTCGTAATATGTTACCTAATACTAAAGATACATTAATACACATTTTATGTAAGGTGCATATATATATATATATATAAAGAATAATATATTAAAATCTTAGGTAATTTTAACTACTTTAGAGTCTACTTTCTCTATTATTTATAGGTTTTGTTTAATACATAATTAGTGTTACGATCCAGAAGTCAACGGTGGGACGACGGGCCTTATGACGGCACTCGGGCCCCACCTTAAGCTTACGTAACGTCCCAGGCTGTCTCAGACGTCAAGACCGTGGGACATCATGGGACAAGGAGGATATATATACAGGATGGTTTCCCTTGTTATGCTCCTTATAGTTAACTCACATATCTTTTGTGCGAGTACGTTCTCCTATATAGACTAATAGTTATCTTATTTATTATAAGATTAGATTGTCTAGCACGCGCTCAGTGTCACATTAACTTATACTACTAAATAATCCGTGAAGCACTACGATACTTTATCGCCCTAACCTAGATTAGAACAAGGTGTGAGCGCCTTATAATAATTAGAAAACATACGGCTAGAGTTAATAGAATTTCCTAAATTTTTACATATTATTATTATTATTATTATTATTATTATTATTATTATTATTATTATTATTATTATTATTATTATTATTATTATTATTATTATTATTATTATTA